AAATGTCATGGAAAATGTTTTAAAACAGCATTTTTACACTGGTTTCTATAGTAACATTATTTCTTCATATCTTGAAACTCTGTGGTTTAGAATGAAAAAGACATTATTGATATGAATACTAATATTAAAACAATTTCAAAATTTAGTTTTCTCCCATAATGCATTGCAATACCCAATCCTATGCTTAGTATTGCAAAATTTGAATTCTGTCTGAACTGTTTAGAGTGGCAATGATTCATGTATACATACTTCCTCGAGTATGTTTTATTTACAGTGCATTCAGACTCGAAACTGATTGTGAAACTGGATGCCATCTTTTAAATCTGCAACATCCTGTTACCGATAGTTAAACAAATATTGAATTTGGGATAAATTACAGGAATTCACATTTTTAAGTAGGCTTCAATATTACCATATTCCACTCATATCAAAACTGTATTAGAGATAAAGGCAATACTGTAATGAGGTTATCCAAGTGTCTGTTTCCAGGAAAAAATAAATTATAAATAGGCTTTTATCTATCACTATTTTAAGAAGAATGAGATTAAAGACTTGTTTAAAATACACTGGTTATAGCAAAACATACTGTATCTGCTCCATTAGTAGTGAATTTGTTTACAGAAACGATAGGTGTGGATCTATGGTCAAACATTTTAAAAGGCAATGGTCATCACGCCACTTGTGTTGATAAACTGATTTTTTCACAACCCAATGTGTTCTCTCACTAGCAAGCAATGAATTAGAGTTTTCATCTGGCCATGAATTGCACTAATGACTTCCTAGATGCGTTCCAATTTTTAAATGATCTTGTTTGCTGCCATCTTTTGTACATGTTGGTCTTGACAAAAATTAAAGTCAACGTTGTGAAGAACAAATTATGTAGACATCTGGGCGCAAATCCGTATTTGTATTTTGTCAGACAATGTACAAAAAGCTTCAGCCATCCATCCACATTTCATGCATTGTGATATGCTGTACAAGTTCAGTGGGACAACATTGAAGACATTACGGAATAAAGATTGTAATACATGTACTGACTGCTGAAGTTCCGAGTAATTTCTTCTTACATTATATGTTCTTGACACAAACCCTTACAGACATAGAAACTAAAACCAATACCAGTTACTGTCACCTCCATATCAAACACCAAAACAGCAACATTGCCAGGTAAGTTGCTGAATTTCATTCAATCATATAAATTTCTAAATAATAAATGGAAAAGTTATTCAAACAAAATGTACGTATGAACTGATGTACTGACCGCATTCACCTGAACGGCACATCCTTGTAAAAGTGGTCTGAACTAAACACCTCTAATCGAATAACAATGTTAAGACTTCGTGACAAACCAGTCAACAACTTAGCTAGCAATGTTGCTGTTTTGATGTTCGAAACAAAATGGCGATGACAGTAAGAAACCACAGACAAGCAAATATTACGTTTCTTTATATTTATTTCTTTGCTATTATCTTGGAAGAGATCCAATAATGTGACAAGTAAAAATTAGTACAAATTAAATTTTACAACGCATAAAAAAAAAAAAAATGCACTATGGGCAAAATTCACTGATATAAACAGCACTCTTTTTATGGAAAAAAAAATACAATATTATGTAACAATAAGTTTAGTTAGAGTTTGATGACACATGGATGGGGTGGCAACCAAATTATTGACAAACGATGTAAGTAGCAATGTTTATATAAAAATGATATATGATAACAGTTTTTAATTTTCATCAACATTATTTGTCATGATTTGATGGAATTTGTTGGAATAAAATTTTGTGATAGTCGCTGTGAATTTAAAGATCCAAATGAAAATGTTCTTGGTAAATGTTCGCAGAACACACAAATTTTAAAACATGTTGTCTCTCATGCAATAAAAGCCTATACAACTCTCCTAGTAATTTTGCTCCTGTGACAAAAATGTTCATTATGAAAGAAAGTGCAGTTGTCTGTCAATGATAATTATGTTTGTTTTTAGATTTTACTATAATCTAAAAGATGAAACTATTAAAGTTGATTGTAATGCCATTGCCTAAACTCTTATACATTATTTTAACTTCACAGAAGAGCTCCGTCACTAGAGAGCTAGAATAATTTATGATGCTAGATTCATAGCATGTTGTAAAACCAAAATTGGTTACTGTAATTTTGAAAACTTTTAATTCATATTGTACAGGTGTTTTCTACACAAACAGAATTACAGCTACCGTACATTCCACATGTTTGCTATAATGCACACCCATCTATACTCCAAAATCAAAGTGTACAATGGACTCGCTGATTTTTTATTTTAATAATAGACAGATTTTGTTGATAATGTATACAACTATAACGACACTACATGATATTTATATGATGAAAACTAGTCTACTAGTAAATTTGATGAATTGTCTGCAAGTAGCAATGTGATTAAAGCCGAGTCTAATCTAGTAAAGTTGTACATATGACGTATACTAATAATGACGTGGTCTTCCACAGCTATTCGGTTATTACGCCAAGTAGGCATAACTAATTATACAGCCTCTTACTGCATCTTTGGCACTATGTACAACTACCACCAAAAAGCTGAAATCCTTGTACCTGTCAATGTCCTAACATATTACCCACGACTCTGGCTATATATACAGGAATCATAAGAGCTCACTGAAAGTATACAAAACATTTTTACAATGACTTCCCATAAACAACGCACACAGGATGCAGTTATATTTATAACGATATCAAAGCAAGCAAGTTTGCCATCTTTGAATATTTTCTAATGGTGTTGTGATAATCATCACAAACACAACGGTGACTTCATCTCAGCGAAGCGCAGTACATGCATGCATGGACATCAAGGTCAACTGTAGTACTGGAAAACCAGCAACTAAATACTAAATAGCATTACAGAACAGACCAAATTCCAAGATGGCTGAATGATTTTGCTACAATTCATGATTCATAAATTTCCAGAAGAAAAAACTCGACTGAAGATGCAGATTTAAAACTGATATTTAACTTCACTTAGTAATTTCCATTGAACATTGTGTCTAGAGATGATCCTAAGTTACTGGACGAATGTATTTTTGATGACAAAAACGAAAATAAGAAAAGAAATGACTGATATTTTGGCAGTTATAGAAGAGTATGGACATTTGTGTATAACACTTAATATACAATAATTATTATTTAAATTTGTAATAATAAAATAAATTTACACTTTACTCAAAATATTTGCAATTATTGGTCAATGTGATATTACTTGACCCTTGACCGTATAATAAAGACGACAAAAAGTTGAAAATGAAGGAGCAGTCATATCATTCAGGTCAGGTCAGGTCAGGTCAGGTCAGGTCAGGGTTCAAATGAAAACCAATAGTCTTGTTGATATAAATATAAACCAAGAGATATAAAGATAAGCCTTTTTACCACCAGTTCCCATTTTCATCTCACAAATTCACAAGATAGTCCTGTTTATAGTCTGCCCTTTCCTTCAGAAGGTTAGGACAAAAATATTCAAATTTTTAAGTCAAACTGACAATCGACTTAAATTTTGTTTGTTGGCTTCAAAATTAGGGTTCATTTCCAGAAATATTGAAGAATATATTAAAAAAAAAAAGTGCAGACAAATTTGGACGAGAAAGTGTGGTGGTAAAAAGGTTAACAGTAATAGTCGAAAAAAAAATACACTACTGGCATTTGACAAATTACAGTATAGGAAAAGCACTGCCAAACTGGTTAAGTGTGTTTTCAAAACATCCATGTGTGCTTAAGGTAATCAGAGCAAATGCGCAGTCAACATATTATTGTAAAAATATATCACTGGTATTTCCTTATTTTGACTTTTTCAGCAAATTCACTGGGTTTATATTTACAATTTTTTCGGTGTAAAACAGCAAGTGACATGTTCACATGGATTGTATTTAGCGAATTTCAGTAAATAGCGAAAATAAAACTCAGTGATTAATTAATACCATATTATATAAGTGAGTGTGATTCTAATGGGTCAAATATGATATGAAGACTGCATTTATTTTCTTGAAAATTACCTTCGCTTCTCGGCAAAATCAAACAATGGGAAAACTTGTTTTTTTATATTTTGCAGGCCACTCATAAACAAATAAAGCGAAAATAAATTACAAGTAAAATAAAGGTATAGGTTGTTAATTTGGCATATTTTTCTTCAGCAGGATGAACCTGTCTTAATTCAACCTGGTTGTGAGGTGGAGAGGGTGTGTGTGGGGGTGGTGGGTTATAGTGAAAGTGAAAGTTATGGTGACATCAGGCATGAACTTCACATACACATACTGTAAAATGACTAATTTTCACTGGGTTTAAATTTCACTGATTTACTATTTCAGGCATATTCACGGTTTTATCATTTAGATAATATGTTCTATGCTCAATTTTACATATTCACTGGGTTTTAATTTAGCGCATTTAGCAGTCAGCGAAATAAGCAAAATTAAAACCCAGTGAATACAAATGTAATTTATCCTTTTACAGTACAAGAAAACGTGTCTCGAGATAGGAAAGGCTCTGAGAAGGTTTGTCAGTTTACAGAGAAGTCTGGTTTTTATAGAAGTAAGTCTATTGGGAAAGGGGATGGTAATGCTTTATTTTGACATTTTAATATTAGTTTCAAAATAAATCAGTTTATACAGCACACAATTATTATCAATATATCAGCATAATCTTTGATTTCTATTAACTACAAGGTTTATGAAACTTTATTATATTACAGACATAATCTAAATCCCCTAAAAATCACTTGAATTTATAGCTTTTTTATCTGGTTAAAACACCAAACATCATCAACATTATAACATTCCCAACTAAAATACTTAAATTAACAATTTACATAATTGAAGCAGGAAGTGACACCTGACTAATTTACTTTTTTTTTAAACATTTCTACCAGACAGTTATGAATAATGAACTTATTTGGATGTAAATGAGACTTCTTTGCCATATATGTATTTATGCTAATTAGCATAGCCTTATTTGGAATGTGTGCCTTTCTTTAAATATACAAACCAGCATCAAATCAAATCAAATGTTGCCATTTAGTGTCCTCATTAAAAGTTAAAAAGTAGGTTATTCATGTCGGTATGAGTGTTTGTCCATTGCTTATTCTTGGGGCGGATCTATGTCACAGATTGTTCTGTGTGGCTAAGACACTCACACGCATCACTATACCATGTATTTCTATCAGCTCTGTACAAGCTGCTGTGAGACGCTGGTCGAAGAGCCGGTGAAAACGGCTAAAATTAAGAAAACAACATAAACTAAACTTTGAGGTAATTCTGAGCAACCAAATTTACACATGTTACACATGTAGGGGTAATCTTGTTACACTGTTCAGTGAAGTCTCGACAACTATCCCTAAGTACCGTTTTCTAAGGCTGGGAAAATGCCTGCTCCGAGAATAGGTTTTGATAATTTGTTTTTAAAGATGAAATAAATTATGAGGCACATTTTTTTTGTAAAACATGACTCAAAGTCAGGGAGCTTAAGTATAAATAAAAATGCAAATGCTGATATAAAAAAAAATTGATACAGCATTTCTAGACATATCTTTAGACGGTTGGGTGGTGTTGGGTGGGATGGGATGAGATGGGATGAGATGAGATGGGATGAGATGGGATGAGATGGGATGAGATGAGATGGAATGGAGCGGGTTGGGATGGAATTCAAATTACAGATATTAAGTACAAGACTGATAAATCAAACGTCAGTCGGATTTTTAAAAAAAAGGTTAATATCACAAAATTGACTGCAAATATGGTAAATTTGATAGTGTATATCAGAAACAGCATTTTTTTCCAAAACAAGGAGGCATGCATTGCAGTTTTCAATATAGTGAAAAAACACAGGGACTGACCAGTATGAAAAATACGGTTAGGTAGTTAATTTAAGAAACAGGAAATAAACAAAATTCCTGTGTATCATATTACAGCAAACATTGGCCAGACATTCTCATTCATAATAGCAACATTTGCAGTAATAGCGCCCTCTACAGATTTTATGAAAAATATTAACATGATTTTGCAAATAATATTTAATATTTAGAGGCATTATTAACATCGATGAAATTTTCATAATGTCATTCCGACTTCTTCGTCTAGAGTATCGCAGTGAAATATTCGCTGAGACAAAAATTCATGAAATTCACTGACTCACGAAATGTCAACTGCTTGACGAGTTCGGCACGACTTGACCTGATCCTGGGTGAGTGTTCTAGTTTCGGTCTATTAACTAAAAAATGTGTTAAAGTGGAGGAACAATGTTCAGAAACATTCTATGTAACTAGTTGGTACATAGCCTTCTTCCACGCCACCTTTGCGTATTTTAGTCCAACCGTCACCCCCATCTTTCTCTATCACATCTAGTATCTCGTTCTCTTCCATCGGTATTGCACCTTCACTTTGAGCTGAAATGCAACAAACACGCAAAGTTATTAAATATAGCATGGCACTGTATGTCATTTGTTGACTAATCAACATAAAAATGCTTTTACTGAATAATTTTATTTTTAAGAGTGTCTAACATTATTTTGATGCACTGTAACCATTTAACCATTAGTGTGTATGCTTTCAACTGCTGCAGAACAAGGTCTGACAGTCTATGTCTGTCAAACAAATATGTAACAAACAAATATAGCGTGTATTCCTTTGACTACCAAATGGCAAAACAACCTACTATGAGCATGCATTCAACTGATAAATTGGTACTTACCTTCAAAAGCATATAAGGCTTTACATCTGCATATAACAGGGTCTAACGCTGCAGTTTGTTGTGTATATGTGCCAGAAGTGTCATCATCGCTGTCAAACTCACCAGGTGGGTAAGATGAAGTACTGGTATTAACACTGACATCAGCTATACCCGTATCTGGACTGTATACAATATACAAATAATTATTAGTGGATTTATAATGCTACTCAAATACTGAAACATTGAAAGACTTTTTGAAGATTGTGATCTCAAGTCTAATTGACCAGATGATATTTTTCTTGAGGTAATGAAAAATGCAAAAGCCCTTTCACTATACCTTAAAGATACTATCTATAAATCCCCTGATTAAATGTTGCGAAAATAGTGAAGTTTTTATTTTGATATTTCTTTAGTTTTATTGTTTGTTTTTATTACACTTGTTTATTTTTCTCAGATGATTTAGTTGTGTAATAAAGTTATTATTGAAAGCCATGAAATAACTAAATAAACTGCATCAATCAAGTTGAGAGAGAACAATACAATACAACCTGTTGATTTATACAAATACTCACCTTGTAGGTGCCGTACTGGTGGCGTAATGCGATGATGTTATACTCGACCTTGGTGAGGCTGTAGAGGCTATTGTACTGGCTGGTGACGTCAAAGAACTGCTGTTGGCATTGGTCTCCATATTTGAGAGTCTATTCTGTTTTGGCGTTCCCTGTGGCGTACTAGTTTTACCATCTACATCACCGAGGTACATCTACAATAATTAAACATCACAATTATTCTACAGACATTGAGAGCTATGAAGCAATGTTACATGTGATTTCAGTAGGACTATCATCACAAATGTGCATAAGAATTAAGGAGTACATTCATACATTATCAACATGCCCCCCGTACACTTTCAGACAAAATAAGTGAAGTTACCCTCTAAAATAATAACAAGAATTCTTCGTTATCAAGATTCACATATATGAATGCCAGTATTATAAAAAAAGTAGCAACACACTAGCACAAAATACTCAATATAATGTAAAGTATTTTATTTTCACTTGAAAGTTATTTTTGATATTCTGGATGAAGGAATGATTCAGTGAAAATAAATCCAATAAATACATGTATACCTTTTTCTTTACATTCAACTTGTCAAAAATCAGTGAAAATAAACTCAATACAAAAAAAGCAGGGATATCTTGTCAGTTAGTTTCAGCTAAAATACTGGGTAAAGTATTTTACAATTTTTGAAACCATATATCACTTTATTGCGTAAGCAATGATGTGTAATAAATAGTTATTAAAGTCATAATGTATCATCTACAATTTCAGTATTACATGTTTGAAATTATTTTTCATGACAGTTCTAACTTACTTGGTATTTTTGTAATTCTGTCCGTACAATGTCGAGCTTCTTGCCATTTTCGGCTAATTGTGCATCTACACTGTTAGGATCTCCCAACGCCGGCGTCTTTGTATAAACTTCTTTCATTTTATTCAATGCATCTCTGTAAACATAAAATGAAATGATCTGTTACAACTGCACAATGTACATTCCACTGTTGTAAATAAACTCCACATAAACAGCACGCACAGAAAATATGGTTATTAAATTAAAATATTCATTATTAAAATATATGTTAATAGCGATTAATGTTGATCACAGTCCTTAAAAGGCCACTGACCACCAACAGTCTATAATATCCTTTTATTGATATTTCAATCAATAATTTTTTAATTAATTAAGTCATCAAGCAGAAATTCCAGACAGGAAATTAAAGGTTTACAATTGCATATGAGTTTATTTATTAATGTACTGTACATATCACTAATGAGTGATCAAGACATTGGTTTGAAAGATGCCCAGTGCTCCTCACAGTCTTAGATTTACTTCACAAGAAGACTGCTTTGCCTCCCCACAAACTTAATTGCTGTCATATTATTTTTTTTTCAGAATATTCATCTTTATACTATGATATGCTTTTTAAGATCTTCTTCTACTTCTTGCTAATTTTAGATAATAATAACTTTATTACACTACTAAAAACCTTCAGAAGGTTTTTGTATGGTAAGGATCATAAATACAAAGAAAATAAAAAAACATACAATACATAAGAGATAAAAATAAAATGTTAGTAAAATAAAAGAAAAAATAAATTAATTACTTTCTGTGGTTTTAAAAAATTGTGCTCTTTAAGTATTTTGCTAAAGCTATATTATTCTCCATAATCTTTTTAAATATGGAATTCACATCCATTGTGTAAATATTTATTGCACACTCATCAAACAGTTTTTTTCTTTGTTAGATAGCACCTTCACTATTTCCGCCTCAAACCTCACA